GGACAAAGAGTCAATGGGTTTGGGACAAAAGCAGCAGGCTGGTGAGCAGTTGCCCAGGGTGTTTTTCCAGGGTTATGTGACAGTCCCCATCAGGGTGTTTAAGATACGCGAGTGATGAAATAGAGAGAACGCAGTAGGGGTGAATGGCTGTGTCCCAGAGGTGCTCACGGTCCTCTGCTTCTTGGGGGGGAGTTTCATCCAGAGAGAGGAGCCGCGACCCCATTTGGGCGTGAGGGTGGAGGAGGAGCAGAGTGATGAAGGTGGGGGTCTGTCCACTAATGCAAGGGTTCAGAAGAAAAGCATAGAGAGGCGGCATGTTTCCTCCGACAGCAGAGGAGTGGGACAACTCTCACCCTGCTCAGACACGTTCAGGGCCGTGGCCCGCATGGTCATCGCCGTCTCTCTTGCAGTCATGGCAATGGAAGAGGCGTGTGCAGCATGAGCCCTCTGACCTATTTCAGGTACCAGCTTTAGGCTGGGTTGAATACTGCCCTAACATCACAGTTTGTCTCCGTGGATGTGAAAGCAACCTGGAGGACTAGCTCCAGTCACAGACTGACACCATGTCTACAACTCCCACTTGTGTTTGTTCAGAGGGATCCCACCCAAAATGTCACGTTTAGTCCTCACTTGTACATTACTTTAAAAATTAAACTCGATGAAATGCATTTGGTTTCAAAATTGGCTTGAATGTGTCATTCCCCGTGTCAAAAATATTTTTTCCTGTCTTTGTGGTGTTTAGCTGACTTTCTGCTGCACTCTTCCCTGACATCTTGAAAAAACAGTCGAGAGAATGTTTCTGCTATTCTGAACTTGCATTTTTTTGCTATACTGGATTGGCACCTTTCAGCCTTACGCTGCCTGGGGCTTGTGGAGGGAGGCTGGTGGGGCAAGGACAGCAGAGCCAGAAGTGAAGCTGCACTTGCATTGCCCCAGGCAGAAACACAGAGAAGGTCTCTCATTCTGCTGGAGACAACTCCTGTCTCCCTTGGTCACCTCCTAGCACCTGCCGTCGGTAAAAGAAATTCGATTAATTGACTTGGGACTGAGGCTGTTACTGCCCAGGCCGCTCGCTGAGGCTATTACAGAAGATGCCTGGAGAGGGTTTGTGCTCTTGGGAATCTCCATCCAGGAGGCTCCCGTGGCATTGCCTGGGGTGATTTATGCACAGCCCTGCAGCTCTGCCCTCCCACGAAGGAGTTTCTTTCTCGGTGTGAGCGTCCCCGAGGGTGGCAGCGTCTGCAAGCGGAGAGAAGGTGGGTGGTTGTATGGAAGGACTGGCGTGAGTCAGGGCACGGCAGGCTGCTCCAGGTGCCTAAGGAGGGGAGGCTGGTGGGACTCAGCATCTGGCCTGCGTGCATTCACCAAGCTAGTCCATTAGGAAAAAGGCAATTTTTCTTTTTTTTTTTTTTTTTAATTGGAAATTTTACTTTAAAATTGGAAAATTTACTTTAAAAGTAGCTTTTCAAAATTTTACAGTTTCTTGTTGAATGAAACGGCAGAGCCAAGGCTGCAGAATTCTGATTTTTAAAGTATTTTTTAGGTAAGAATAGGACTTCAGTTTAAAAATGTAAACAAATAAATACCAAACCTTTTAACCAAAACCAGAAGTTGTTTGCTGCAAAAGAGTCGGCTTCTTTCTGTTTCTATAAATTAATCAATAACTATCTAAATACACATTTTCCATAAAATAAACTAACTTTTCAGCCACGGATAACGTTCTTAACCCCTTGCATACAACAGCAGGTGTCTGAACAGAAAGCCATGGGCACGCAGCCGGGGGTTCTCACTGACCGGCAGGATTTGGTGAAACAGGCTGGACTGTGTCCCACGTGGCGCAGCTCGCCTAGGATCGGGTGGAGAGGTGAAGGAGGCAGGCAGCCCGCTGGCCCAGCATCCCACCCGCCGCCACTGACCCAGGACCCCAGCCCAGCTGGGGGACAAAGCATCATTTTGGGGAGGTATCCTGCATCCATAGTGCAATTTGCGGAGGAAAAGCGAGCGCCCCAGGAGCACACACCGGACCAGTGACACACTCAGGGCACGGTCTGGGGCTGGAGCTTTGCCTGTGAGGTACGCGGGTGTCCTAAACACCCTGCTCGCAGCCTGTGTGCCCCGTCCAGGAACAACCTCGGTTTATCGCCATGGGAGAGCATGTCTGAAGCACGCACTGTGCGGCAGCCGGCGATGCCCCGCTGCCACCCAGGGGCCTGCGATGAGAGGGAAAGGAGTGCAGGGGTTGGGGTGGGGAGAGCTCAGCCTGAACGATGTGACAAAGCAGACATAGAAGGTCACAGAGGAGCACAGGGACTGTTCCTTCAATCAAAGGGTTCTACCTCCCGCACTAATTAACCGTGAGGAGTAAAGAGGAATTAAACTACAGGGGAAAAAAAATTGGTGGTGCCCAGGAACCGGTGATCTCAATGCATTTCAACCTGCGGTACTGGTTTTTCATATAAGTTCCATTTTCCCAAAGCTGAGGGAACTTAAAGGCAGAGGGAATTCAGAGACTGGAACTGCAGAGTAAGTTAGGAGATGTTTTTGAACAACTTCAGCATGTGGCCCAGCCTGCTCCCCCGCATGCCTGCGGAAAAGGGGTGCTGTGGTTAGGAAGGTGATCGAAGCTCTGCAGCTAGAGCAGCGTGGGCAAAGTCAAACGGGGGAGCTGGTCAGGATCTGACAGGAGTTAGAAGAGCTGTTAAGCAGAGAAATCAGATCAAAACAGACAAAGGCGTCTGCCCCTCTGCATAGAGAAGAGAGGTCTCTGCCCACCTGAGAGAAAGGTAATCTTTATTTTGTAACGTAATTGAGTTGATTAGTAGCTGAGAAGGATGTCAAATCGCTTCCACTAGGAACAGAAAACAAATACAGCAGCAGGTCTGGGTGATTTGCACGAGGGAAAAGCATCTCTGACCTGGCCTGCTCTGCCAGACTTTTATGAGTCCTGGCATGCTGCGATGACCGCAGACACTTCCTCGGGCCATTACTTTAGTGAGAAAGTACAACGATGTGATTAGCTGCAGATTGCTTAGCCTGACGTCAATGCCCAGCAGAATGCCCAAGAAGTTAACAGGAGATTTGTTCAATAAAGAATTAAAGGCTTGGAATCCAATTAAGTTATGGCAATCCACGTGGCTTTGCAGGAAACGGCTCCTGTCAAACAAACCTGATTTCATTTTCTGATGAGATAGCAGTTTATTCAATCAATGTGTGCGTGTGAGTACAGCACACAGAGTCATCTAAACGAAATGTGCCTCCACCACACTGCTTTCAGGTGAGGAGCTGACACAATGCAACATCTGTGAAGCATCAGCACAGTGGATGAGGAACTGGATGATTAAGAGACCTCAGAATGAAGCTGTCAGAACCATCATCACAAAAAGCTTCTGTTCCTGCAGGGATGCCACAGTGGCTGGCTCTGAACTAGAAGTTACTCTGCACGCCTTTCATCAGATGTCCCACAACCAGCACAAACTGTGTCTCAGATAATGCTGGGGAAAGGCAAGTTGTGCCGCTCAGCCTGGAGGGACTGGCGGACTCACTCATTCACAGGAGCTGCCTGCAATAATAAGGTAAATACCAGGTAAGGAGAGTCGGGCAGGTTTTCAGAGTGGAGTGCTGTATCCTGGAGGACAGAGGCTCTGGAAAGCAGCTGACAGCACACTGAGAGGGTGACACTGGGACCCAAAAGGCTGGTGCAATTTTGGATGTGTAAGAGGGAAATGGAAGAGGTGGTATTTTTTTCAGAAAAGGTGTTGAAATCTTGGAGACGTACCAATAAACCCTCTCAATAAGTCAGGCAGCGGAACAGGTGAGTGGAGATGGGAAACCTGCATTGCTCTGGGTCTTTAGTTTATCAAGAATAACTCATTGGTCGTAGGAGGTACATACCTTCATGTCCTGAAGGTACTCTGCCATAAGGGCTCTGTGGCCAAGCATGGGAAGGTAGAGGAGGCTGCTGGGGCTGGAAGGAGTAGACTGGCAATGTCAAACGGGAAGAAAAGCACGTGGTTATAACCCTGAGGATGATTAGCACTTGAGGCAAAAACCAAGGGATGGAGGTTCTCCATCTCTGGATGCCCACAAGCCTGCACTAGTGCAATGTCTTCCAGGAAAGCATGCTTTAGCAAATCCCATGTTATTTGGCTCCAGAGAGGAAAAAATGGGAGTAACTCCACTGTTTTCGACAGGACAGCATTCTGTATTAGTTTGGCCTTCGGTCTCACGGGTGGATGAGCGTGGAGGAAGGGTAGCATCATTTTAACTGTACCTTTCTGGACTGCAGCTAGCAGCTAGAGTCTGTCAACGATGCTTGTGTCCCCTTAGGGTAGGGTGACAGCTTGGAGCATCGTTCTTCTGGCTGCAGTTTCTCTCAGCCCAGTTTCACCACAGACACGTTGTCTAAGGTGCAGCTTCTGTATGACCCAAAGTAAAAACAGGATAGATCTTGTGCGACCTGGACCCATACGCCCAGTCCTCTCTCTGAGCAGGGCATAGGGAGGGAGGGCTCACTTGCAAGCCCTAGCAGCAAGTCCTTAAGCCCTGCCGTTGCACTGCTGATGAAGGCTGGGCAAGGGCCAGAGAGCCTGGGGTCATTATGCCCCACTTCTGCCCACTGATAGTGGCAATAGTGGCTGGGCAGGACACCATGATGCCAGCCTTTAGACAGACACGCGTATGGCAAAAGCTAGAGGTTAATCAGAGGGGTCGGAAGGAGAAGCAGGAGGGAAGGTGTCTCATGCGAGCAATAGGACAGCCAGGACTCCCCAGTGATGTGTCCTCTGGAAAGCAGTGACCACAGCAGCAATTTGAAAGCCTGACTGTAGATAATAGGTTCTGAAAGTTTTTCTCCAATGAATACAACAAAACCGTGTGATGCTTGAGAACCGCAGTGTGCAGAGTTTTATGATCAAACTGACAGCAGAAAAACCCCAGCCTTTCTGTTGTTGTTACAGGGAGCTAAAGTCAGCAACGACGATGTGGCTTGGCCCAACTCTGCCATGTCAACCGCCAACCAATCCAACACCAGCCCTTTGCCTTTTCTCCTGACAGGCATCCCTGTCCTGGAAGCTCTCCACATGTGGATTTCCATCCCGTTCTGCTTTACGTACATCATGTCCTTGCTGGGAAATAGCATGGTCCTTCTCACTGTGAGGTTGGACAAAAGCCTCCATGCCCCTATGTACTATTTCATTTCCATGTTGGCTGTCATCGACCTCATCTTTTCAACCGCTGTAGTTCCCAAAATGCTGGGTGTATTCTGGTTGGATTCGAGAGAGATTGGTTTTGAGGCCTGCTTCACCCAGATGTTCTTCATCCACACATTCACTGCAGTGGAGTCAGGGGTGCTCCTGGCAATGTCCTTTGACCGCTATATAGCCATCTGCAACCCCCTGAGATACAACACCATCCTAACAGGCTCGAGGACCATCCAGATAGGACTGCTGTCTCTGGTCAGGGGAGCTGGTGTCATGACACCATTAATGTGTCTCCTCACCAGCTTACCCTACTGCAAAGCCAGAGTCATCCCTCATTCCTACTGCGAGCACATGGCCGTGGTGGAGCTGGCCTGCGCCGACCCATCCGTCAGCGATCTCTACAGCCTCGTCGTGGCAACGCTACTGGTGGGGACAGACTCTGTCTTCATCAGCTTCTCCTACGGTATGATCCTGAGGTCTGTGATGAGGCTGCCATCCCAAGAGGCTCGTCTCAAGGCCCTCAGGACCTGTGGGTCCCATGTTTCCATCATCCTGCTGTTTTACATAGGCGGCCTGCTCTCCATGTACCTGCAGATGTTCTCTTTCGGCTTGGCACCTCACGTCCAAGTCCTGGTGGCTGATTTCTATTTGACGGTCCCTCCCATGCTCAACCCCCTCATTTATGGCATAAAGATGAAGCAGATCCAGGAAGGGATCTTCAAACTGCTGGGGCATTTGGCAGGACTCAGTATCTCACAAGCCAATAAAGACAGGTCAGATGCTGGGAGATGGAGGCACCGCCAGAAAACAGTTTATCCCATCCTAGAATAGATGTGAAGTTAAGTGCAATGAGTTATCCCCCAGAAATGTCCATTTCTCTCCAGTGACTGGAAAGAGAACCTAGACCAGATGCCTAACGCCAACATGGCAACAGCTTACTCACACAAAACCAATGGACCAGTCCTGACGGGTGCTGGGCAGCTGTCCCTCTGGCCAATGCACTCCTGTTTTCCAAGACATCATTTGGAAATGTTACATCGTGGTAGCTTTTGGATATCACTAGCAGCATTTCGGCCCCTGTGGCACACGGCTGAGGTGCCCCGCAGACCTAAGTGCATCAGCCAGAGAGGACAGTTCAGCCCACCAAGCAGCAGCAGGGCGATATACCGTGGTGCTCCGTCCCTCAGGACCCACATGGAGGGGAGGAGAGGATGCCCTGTCCCCTTCCTTGCTCACAAGGGATAGAAACGGGGCCCCTGCATCTCCTCCACCCATCCGTACAAGAGACGTCTGCTCTCCACTTCTAATCAGGAGTCAGACCAGTGTATCTGAGGAACTGCCAGGCTCTCCAGGGACAGGAGCCTGCTTTACCCAAAGGCTACAGTTAGAGGTTCACCGCGGCAGTCTCAGCCATCAGCCCCCCCACCTTGTTGTACACGTCCCCTGTAAACCCTGACCGGGACCACGTGAACATCGACACAAAAGCAACACGATAAGGTGAAGGGCTGAAAATCCTCCTAGAGGTGTTTGCAAATCCAGCAAAGCCAGCGCAAGGAACCGTGAACGACCCAAGCATCGGCACTGCAGGAATCAGCTGGAAAGGAGGAACCCGCTATGGAGAGGGTGCTCTGCGTAGAAGTGACCGCTGCTGTGTACGCTGAGCTCAGAAAAATGCCCGGAAATATAAAATGAAAGCTCTTTCCTATTCCTGACATAAGCCGTGGTTGCACAAGCCACGAACGATCACAGTCCACTCTAGGAAACAGAGTTCCTCCACAATTCTGCAAAGAGTGAATGCAGATTTATCACCCACTTTGGAGAGAGGGTGGTCTACTCAAGAAGTAAGAAAAAGAAAATGTTTCCTGTAAAATGTGATGCATCCATCCATCTTGGCTTCCTTCCTTCCTTCCTCCCTTTATAGATCACCCGGACCTCTCCCAAAACTGCCATAAGCTGTCAGAGTCCTACTGGTATGCATCAGCTGGCAAACTTGCATATTAATCTTGACTATGAATGTTTAGGTCAGACATTTAAAAAACAAAAAAAGTCTACCAGGGAGGTGTTTAGCACCTGAACAGGTTGCTTGGAAAGGAGGCAATTCACCACTGGAGAACCTAAGTCAAGCACCTTGTTGATCCTGCTGCAGGTCAGGAGAAAGGGCCAGGCGACCTCCCCAGGCCCTCTGGCATTGGGCACTGACAGGGGGGTCAGATAAGCCCCCAGGGAGTTCGTGTTTAGTGTGAGACTGAAACCGGGAGTGTTTTGCTGCGCGGAAAAGGAGAGAGCGCAGGGTGCTCCCAGCTTCCAGGAAAACGCTCCCACGTACGTTCTCACACACTCTGGTTACGTTTCTCATCGCTTCCTCGGTCAGCAAGGCAGACGGGGGGTTATCGCCGCTGGGGACCAGCACCGCTGTCGGTGATGGTGCTGTGCAACGTGCTCCTGCCATCAATGCCCCAGGAGATGCTTCTTCCTTCCTTGAACGCTGCCAGAGATCAATGCACGACTCTGGACAGGGGGACTCTGAGAAAGCAAAGGACTAAAAACTAAACGCTATCTTTTCTGTCTCTGCTTCCTGATCTCTGCATCAAAAACATCTACAGGATGGGTTTTCCACAAATAAAATTTTTAAAAAAGTTAAAATCTTGAAACTTTAGTTCCAACAGGAACCACAGGTGAGCTCTCAGCCTGCCACCCCCCGCGCACAGAAACGCTCAGGTGGTGGGAGTGATGGCAAACTTTACCCCTGCGCCCAGCCGTGCGTCACTGCCAGCCCTCACCTGAGCCACCAAAACATCTGAAAGGAAAAAATCTCAAGATACAATGAACTTGATCCAGAGCCGCTGGCACAGGGCCCCACTGGAAAGAGCCTGGCTCCAGCCTCTTTGCCCCCTCCCCTCGGGCATTCATATACATTAGTAAGATTCCCCCTGAGCCTTGTCTTATCCAGGCTGAGCACTCCCAGCTCTCTCAGTCTTCCCTCCTAGCAGAGATGCTCCAGCCCGTGCAGCATCTTTGTGGACCTTGGCTGGACTCTTTCCAGTATGCCCGTACTGTTCTCTGAGTACCCAGCCCCCTGAGCTGGAAGCCAGGAATGGGGAGCAGAATGAAGTCCCTGTAGTCCAAGGGGAAATGGCGAGCCACCTGCTGCACCCCTTGGACACACACAGGTCCATGGGGCCAGATGGGATCCACACAAGTGTGCTGAGGGAGCTGGTGGAGGTGCTCACCAAGCCGCTTTCCACCAGAAGTCCTGGCTAACCAAGGAGGTCCCAGTTGACTGGAGGTTAGAAAATCATAGGAACAGAAAGGTTTGGGTTGGAAGGGACCTTAAAGACCATACAGTTCCACCCCCCTGCATGGGCAGGGACACCTCCCACTAGACCAGGTTGCTCCCATCCAACCTGGCCTTGAGCCCTGCCAGGGAGGGGGCAGCCACGGCTGCTCTGGGCAACCTGGGCCAGTGCCTCACCACCCTCATCAGAAGAAATGTCTTCCTGGTGTCCCATCTACAAGCTTTCTTACAGCCCCTTGACATATTAAAAGGCCGCTCTAAGGTCTCCCCGGAGCCTTCTCTCCTCCAGGCTGAACACCTCCAACTCCCAGCCTGTCCTCACAGGGAGCTGCTCCAGCCCCTCAGCATCTTCGTGGCCTCCTCTGAGGAGGATCTGGGGAACTGCAGGCCTGTCAGTTTGACCTCAGTGCCGGGGAAGGTTATGGAGCAGATCACCCTGAGTGTCATCATGCGGCACGTACAGGACAACCAGGTGATCAACTGTTCCACCAACCTGATCTCCTTCTATGACAAGGTCACCTGCCTAGTGGGTGAGGGAAAGGCTGTGGATGTTGGACATTAGTAAAGCCTTTGACACCTTTTCCCACAGCATTCTCCCGGAGAAACTGGACGGGCATACTCTTCACTGGGTAAGAAACTGGCTGTATGGGCAGGCCCAAAGAGCGGTGGTGACTGGAGTTCAATCCTATTAGCAACCAGTCACAAGTGGTGTTCCCCAGGGC